TCTCCCGGCCACCGCAGCCTCCACCTGCTGGGCTCCGGCGATCCTTCCGCCTCAGCCTTCCAAGTAGCTGGAACTACAGGTGCGCACTACCACACCTGCTAATTTTGGATTTATTGTAGAGATGAGGTCTTGCCAAGTTGCTCAGGCGGGTCTTGAACCCTCGGGCTCAGGCAATCCTCTTGCCTCAGCCCCCCAAAGTGCCGGGCTTACAGGCTTGAGCCACCGTGCCCAGCCCATCACAGGGTTTTTAACGGGATAAAATGAAATCACATACATGCAGGCCCCAGACCCTCAGTAACCATCTGCCGTCGCTATCAGTACAGGCTGAAGGAGGGCACAGAAGGACTTCCAGGGAGAGGGCCCAGGGGGCGCCTGCAAGGCCTTTGCGTGCAGGCGCCCAGGCCTAATTGGCTGGCACTGTCCTGGTGAACTCCCGACACTAAGCCAGCGTGTATACAGAAGAGACGCCTGCGCTATGCTTCTATTTCTGCCCCATTTCAAAGGGTTAGAAACTATTTCCCAGGAGCTTCTAAGCTATTAACCCTATATCTCCAGGAACCTTTGTCCCTAGTCATCAAGCAGCTGAGCAAAGCTGCCTCTGTTCCTGCAGGCAGCCGTGAAGATGTCTGGGAGGGAAGGGGCCTCGTCTGCGGGGTCTTGGATCCATGGCACTGCCAGGGGCACGAAGCACCAAGTATGCCTGTACACGGTCAGCTGGAGCTTGGGGAGTGTCCTTGGGGAAGAGAGATGGGTCTACACTTTCCAGGGATGTCACCGGGGCAGAGGCTTTTAGACCCAGAAAGTTCGAATATGACGGCAAATGGGGGGTGGAGTGTAATTAATTTTTTTTTTTGGCATCAGGGGGCTCACTCTATCATCCAGACTGAGTCCAGCGGCATGATCATGGCCCACTGCAGCCTCGACCTCCTGGGCTCAGGCAATCCTTCTGCCTCAGCCTCCCAAGTAGCTGGGACTACAGGTGCAGTGGTCCCACCACCACGGTGGGGTATTTTTAAAATTTTTCAGACAGGGTTTCCCTATGTGGCCCAGGCTGGTCTTGAACTCCTGGGCTCAAACAATCCTCCCGCCTCAGCCTTCCAGAGTGCTGGGATCACATGTGCGAGCCACCACACCCGGCCAGATGCAATTAATTTTCATTCAGTCCTAAGCATGGAGCACTGACTCCAAGTTTTATCTGTTAAACGGGAAATGGTGGAAGCAAAACTCAAGGGCCGTGTCCCCTTCAAGGCAGAGGCACGCTTGGACCCTGCCTTTAGCACGAGACTCCCGTGAGTGCTGCTGGCCCAGGCAGGTGAGACCTCGCAGCCTGGGACCATTCAGTGCGGCGCCGTGCCTCCTCCTGGCACCCTGGGCCACCTACTTGACTTGCCGTCCCGTCCTGCTGACCTCCGAGGGCTGCCTCGCGTCACAGGACCCAGGCATCATGGGCTGGATGGGCTGGCTCAGCAACAGCCTTGGGACAGAGGAGGCGAGAGACGGGAACCCGATCAGCACCCGAACTGGAGACCCGCTGGCCAAGGGCAGCCCTTGCCCAGCCTGGCTGGACCCCGCGGTTGACCCTGACCAGCCCCACTTCCCTGCTCCGTTCTCAAAGGACGACGTTCGCAACACGGCACCTCCCTGGTCTTCGGGACTCCAAGCCCTCTCCCGCCACCTCCTCGCTGTGAACCCTGCCTCTGCTGAAGCTACGCCTTGGGCCATCCTTCCGACGAGCCCAGTCTCTCTCCGCACCTGAGCTGCCGGTCGTGGCTGAAGTCTGGGCTGGGCTGGCACTGGCTGGCATCATGGGAGGTGGAAGCAGGCGTGGTCAGATTCAGACTCGGCGGGAGCACGGCCGCGGCGCTGCTGAACTGGGGTGCCACACTGCCCACGGAGCGGCCGCTGCCCGGCATCAGCTGGGAGCTTCTCAGGGGCTTTGGGCCCTGGAGCATCATTTTAACAAGAAAGGTCACACCTGGACTCCACCCAGATGTCATCTGCCCAGGAAACTCCCTCAGCACCTCCTTCTTCTACCCACCCTGGTCTTTCCTCCAAAACCCCGGACCTACCAACGATTTATGGAATTATTCTGATCTCGTGATTGGGGTCTATTTGAATCCCTTGGGCCTAGGAGAGTACCAGGGTCTCCGCAGGCAGGCAACACTGAAGTGCTTTCGGCCTCACAAATGCCACCGCAGACCTGGGAGCCTGCTTGCTCTTTCTCTAACTCACCAGGCCCACCCCTGCCTCAGGGCCTGTGTACTAGCTGGCGGCTCTGTGGAAGGCTCTTCCCCTGATATTGCTAGGACTTGTTCTCTCGCCCCCCCCACCTCCCCCACCCCAGGTCTTGGCTCAGATATCACCTCTTCCGGGAGGCCTTCCCTGGCTGCCTCCTTAAAACTCCAACCCGTTTCGCACCCTCACCAGCATTCCCACTCACCACTTGGCATACTGTGATTTTTGTCTCTCTCCTCACTTGGAAAAGAGATTTTTCTTTTCTTTTTTGTTCACTGCTGTTCCTCAGTGTTCAGAATTTAGTGCTTGGCATGCAGTGAGCACTCAAGTAATACTTGTTGCGTGAAATAATGAATGAATGAAGGAGTGGGCTTGGGCTGGCTTTTTGGGTGTTCTTGGTTTCACTGTTCATATGATGATACCAAAGTGCCTTACTTCTTAAGGTGGTTCACAAACTCCTTCAATACCAGATAGTATAAATCCTTCCTTGGTACTTTCTTTTCCAAAAATGTCGTGGTTCTTCTCACCCAGTAATTTTTCTGATGACTTTTCTAATCTAAAGGCTGCATTTTTAAGCAGAGCCCTTCCATTTGGATAAAGATGGACTAAACTCTCTCATACGTGTACTCATCCATGTTGTACTGCACATTTGCTGCTTAGCATCCCGGATTCCCTACTGGACCAGAAGCTCTTTGCGGTCCAGGACAATTCCTGTTCATCTTTGCTCCCCTGGGTCTTGGTAAACAACAGAGCTCAACTCACATTCACCAAAGCCATGAAAGCGTGTGGGAACATGGGAGGCTCGAGGAAAGCCTGCCTTCCGTCTGTAAGCTTCCAGGAGCAGGACCTGGGACTTGTCAATTCCATTCAGTTCGAGGCCCGTGTATCTTTTGGCCACCCTGTCAGGTTGCAAGGCCACTGGTGGTTGGGAGTAAGTGGAGTGGCCGCAAGGGTTTGGCAGGGTGTCTGGGGAACTGGGGGAACATGGTGGGCTTGGGGTAAGGGACAATGAACCATGGTGGCTGCTTAAATGGGTAATGGCTAAAACCAGAGTAGAAGATGGGGCCTGAGGACATGTGTGTTGGGACATTCAGCTGTCAGTGACTGTCTGGGGTGTCTTCACCTACCTCCAACACTAAGTCGGCATCAAAGCTTAAAGTTTCAGGTGCACAATATCTTTAAGGGCCAGGTGAGGGACTGAGGCAGACATTCATAAAACACAGAAGGACGTCAATACAACTTGGGGCTTCAAAGTGACATTTTTGATTTGGGGTCTCACTCTGTTGCCCAGGCTGGAGTACAGTGGCATGATCACAGCTCACTGTAGCCTCGACCTCCTGGGCTCAGGCAATACTTCTACCTCAGCCTCCTGAGTAGCTGGGACTACAGGCGCCCACCACCACACTTAGCTAATTTTAAAATTTATTTGTAGAGACGGAGTCTTGCTATGTTGTCCAGGCTGGTTTTGAACTCCTGGGGTCAAGCAATCCTCCCAAAACGCTGGGATTACAGGCGTGAGCCACCCTGCTCAGCAAAGTGACTTTCAAAAAAGAAAAGAAAAAGCTCACCACCATCATCTGTCCGCAGCCCACAGAGGAACAGCACAGTAGGTTCCCAGTTCACATAGGCTGCAGGAATCAAGTACGACCTGAACTGCAGTGGGGTGTCTGCTCTAGGGGCAAGGACGGAATCTAGAGAAGAGCGTGCTTACCTGGGTGGATATCACACTTGATTCTCGAAGCAGGTGCTGGCTTGCAACCTGGGCAGGGGTGACGGGCCCTGGAAGCTGGGGACCGGCTCCAAGCTGGGGCTGGGTCACGGCAGCTGACCTTTGCTGTAACTGCTGAGTCTCAGGCCGCTGGGCGCTGCTGAAACTCAGGGACACAGCTGGCTGCTGCAGAAACATCTGGGAGAACAGAAATGCCGAGAAGGCTGGGGTCACATTCCCCTCGCAGGAACGCACTTCTGGTGGATGTGGAGTGCCTGCGACACCCCAACAGAGCGGTGGGCTGGAGAGACACCGCCCCCACCTTCATGAGGGTCACAGGCACACGACTGAGGTCTGACAGCGTGAAAGCCGCTTAGACCCAGATGTTCTATAAACATTTGATGTACTTGTTTAGAGACAAGGATGGCTTGTTTCTTCTTCTTATCTGAAGGGGGAAGCATCTTGGGAGTGGAATGAATGACGCAATATTCCTAGGGTGGCAAAGGGTTAGCTAATCTCCATGTGGGCCACAACATTCTCACAGTCGGACCGGGCCCTGCGCCTGACCTTGAATGTCCGGCCGGTGACCAGTGTCCATACCCATGGTGCTCTTGGGAATCTTCAACCCGGTACCCTCAGCTGAGCTGGCAAATCTGTGCCCGTTAAACAGGTGACGGTGTTTCCAGGCAGGCAAACAGACTCAGAGGTGATGATATGACAGCACATCCACGTACTTTCAGTTTAGGCTTTAAGTTTTATAATCACCATGGTCATGTCTACGCATTGTGTTCTCTAAGATGTCTCAGACATATAAAAGGCTGTGATATGTTAGTCTGGTGGCTTTAACTGGAAAAGTTTAAGAGAATTGGAGGAAGTTTGTAAAGAGTGCTTAAGTGTTTATGAGAATCCCGGCTTAGTTCATTTAAGTCTGAGGTATTTGATTTAAGATAGTTATTTACTTCTGAGGTTTCTAAGTCTCCCTTGTTAGGTGCATGAAATGTCTGAAAGATTCTGATAAGTCAAATCTGTCAATGATTGGCTTTGGTAGCAAATGTGGATTATTCACAATTTGTTAAATATATAAACTAACTGACCATAAATAGAAAGCCTATGAAAGCATTGCTCTTTTTAGACAAATCAGTAGATTTGTAAATAAAGCAGGAATTGTAAATTGACTCTAAGGTTTTAAGAGAAACAACTCTAATCATTTTAATAATAAGTTAACTAAAGACCTGAAACAAGCTCTTTTAGCAAAAACCCCTCTAGGGCATTAAAATGGACATAAATGATATTGTGTCTCTAGCGTGATTCTGGACATGCGATGTTCACGCCACTCCAGGCCTTCAGCACTGAGTTCTTCAGGAGGAAGGCTCTCTCCCTCGGCCTCCCAGCACCTGGCGTTTCTGACCCCAATTCCTGTTCTCTGTGCAGTCCCACCTCGTGCACAGCATGGAACTGATGCCCCGGCGTGTGCGAGTGATAGAGCAGGTTTGGACAGACAGGTGGAGAACCCCGCCGTGCAGACACATGGGGGAATGACAACAGATCAGTTAGCTCGGTGTTCGGTTCACAGGTGGGCTGAGACCGGAGGCCGGCAGCTGCCGCTGAGCTGGGTCAAGCCTCAGAGCAGCTCCTCTCAGGCCCCACCCGCAACAGGGAAGTCTGCGGTTTTGAAACGGAGGCTCTTTGTCACTTTAGGGGTTAAGCAGAATTTTTCTGTATCCATCATCTGAGATTCAGTACCCACCCATCTGAGGATTAGTATTTTTCATGCAGTCCAGGTTTCCTATTAGAACAAAAGTCATACTTTGTCACTTCCGCAAAAACGTAATACTCAAACTCAACTGCCATACATTTTCCTGCTAGGATTCAATTTACTTTCTGACTAGACTTCCACCGAATGCAACCTTTACTGATGACAGGCAGTATAATATTTCTTAAATCAGACATGCCTTAGTTCAAATCCCTACCCTACCCATCTACCAACAGTGTGAGCTTGGGTTTTTATAACTTTTCAAAGCCTTACTCTCCTCACTAATAAAGTAGTGACATTAACAGCACATACCTCATAAAGGATCACATGAGGTGAATGCATATAAACTACCTGAGACATAGTAAGTACTAACTCAGCGGTAGATAACAATAATATTTAAAATGAAAAAGGGAGGGAGCTTTTTGTTCCTCTGCTTCTTTGGACATACAAAATCATTTGATGGATAAATGCACGTATGAATGAATAAACACATGAATGAAACCTTTGCTCGAAGAAAGGCAAACTAATGTTGGCTAATGTTATGTGACATACTGTTTTGTGTGCTCTTCTGTCTCACTGATGTACACTCTGTGAGGATGGAAGCCCTGGCCGATTTAGCTCTGTATCCCCACGGCACTTAACCATGTGCACGGGAAATGATGGGTGTCTGCTAGATGGATGGATGGATGGATGGAAGGAAGGGAGGAGGAAGGGAGGGAGAGAGGGAGGATGAATGAATGGATTAAAGGATGGGTGGATGGGTTAGGGAAGGACGGATGGTAGAACCCAGAGAGGAACATGTCATCTGCCACTGGTACAAGCGTCCTTATAGGCGATTCCTCTGAGCAGCCAGCAGAGGGCGAGCATGCTCTCAAAAAGAGAGGGCGAGGGCGTCTTCACGGACTCCGCGGAGGGGACAGCGCCTTTCAGCAGAACAGCTAGATGAAGTCTCATGACCCCGTCTAAGTGCAAGCCCCGACAGCCTTGGAGGACTTCTCCCTCATAACCCGGCCTTTTTGGAAAAACCACCACCACCACCACCACCCAGAACCATACTTAGCAAGCATCACCGGCACACACAGCTTCAGTGAAAGACCTGAACCAATGACGTCAAGTCACAAAAGTCTACTCAAGTTGGGATCAAAGTCCTTGGGTGGGAGATTGATCCCTGGATTGCTGCTGTGTACATCCACGCCGCTGTTTATAAAAAATAAAGTAGAATTTCACGGCTTAGCAAGATGGCTTCTTAAAAGGGTCCTGGGGTCAGTGGTACAGAAAATGTGTGCACCCCCCCCCCCCCAAAAAAAAGAAATTTAAAAATGTTCCCCGATTCAAGTACAAAAAGTTATCGGAGGAAAAAAAAATTTTCTAATTTTCAAGAACAAACCAATCCCTACATTTACATGTGATTTTTTTCCCATCATTCTTAGGTGCTAATTTTTACAAACACTGTCATTACCTGGCATTTCAGAAGTACATATAATAGAAAAATAATACAATAAAATCCCATGGTATAACTAGGCTTCAACAATCAGTGTTTTGCCATTTTTATTTCATCCATCCTTTCACTTCTGGGGGGTGAGCGATTTTTTACTTGCTTATTCTTTATACTTGAATCACACAGTTTGGTCTTTTAAAAACAAATATCATGTTTCGGGAAGCATTTTGAAACGTATTTCTTTAAATCTTGCAAAACAAAGCAAAACAACAACCCCTCTCCCCCCAAACAAGGCCGCCTCCTTGAGGAAACGTCCTCTGGTTTGAATATCCGTGGATTTCCCACGTTCTCTGGAAAATTCCACTGCAAAGATAAGGCTGCAGGAAGGAAAACAGGGAAGACACACACCGAGGGCGTGATGCCTGCACCACCCTGCACAGAGTATCCCCTGGGTGCCTCCTGGCATCGGGACTTTGGAGTTAACAAGACACACGGATCCCGGGGAGGAAAAAAGACTTCTTAAAACAGCAAGTGAAAGCGATAACCTTGCGGCCTGGTATTTTAAAATTCAGCTTTAATGTTGGAAAGGCAGGAAGTCGAAAACTCCAGGCACTGAGGAGGATGTTCATACGCCCACCTCGCTTTTAGCAGTTTCTGGCTCAATTTCACCTTCCTGTTAGTGTAAAAATTCCATTAAAGTAATTGGAGTCAGGCAAGTTCTGGGCTCCTGATTTTCACGGATCGGGCCCTGGATCTGGGAGAAAAATATCACAGCCGGGAAAGACGAAGTAAAAAGCCACCCTTCACTTATTCTGGAAAAAGGTGGAACCGCGCTTCCGTGCTTCCATTTCTTCTCCCGTAAGCAGTGAAGCCTTCTCTCTGGTCGGTGTGAGGGTGAGGGTGAAGAGGGGAGTGAGAGGACAGCAGGGCTCCGATGTGGCCCAGGCTGTCTGAGGAAGCCCGTAGCACTCCCCTGCAACACCCTGCCTGGTGGGAGGGGCAGGGAGGCGGCCCACCCTGAGTGGGTTCCTCTCTTTTTTTTTTTTGAGTTGGAGTCTCACTCTGTCGCCCAGACTGGAGTGCAGTGGCCACTCGCGGCCACCGCAGCCTCAACCTGCCTGGGCTCCGGCAATCCTTCCGCCTCAGCCTTCCAAGGAGCTGGAACTACAGGCGTGCACTACCACGCCCGGCTCATTTTGATTTATTGTAGAGATGAGGTCCTGCCAAGTTGCCCAGGGGGGTCTCGAACCCGCGGGCTCAGGCAATCCACTCATTTCAGCCTCCCGAAGGCGCGGGATTACAGGCTGAGCCACCGAGCCCGGCTGTGGGTTCCTCTCTTCAAGGTGAGCAACCAGGAAGGGAAAAACCAGCAAGTGTCTGGAAAGTCGCCAGGGATGTCCCTGGGGGGCTGGGCAGAGCTGCTGAAAAGCTGGGGAGGTCGGATGGGCAAACAAGGCATCTCCATCCACCCAACAAAACCTGCACCACCACAAACAGAAAAGAAGAAGGAGGAAAAAAAACCCCCAAACAACAAAAGCTCGCATCCTCATGCTAACCTCAGCACGCACCGGCTCAGGACACTGGCCGCACAGAGCCTGCCTGTCCTCTGTCCTAAGTGCTACTGAGCTTGTGTGGCCAGGGGAGGGGCAGGGGCGACGGGGATAATGCTCCAGCCATTTTCTGAGGTTTCACTTCTGCTTCCTTCTGTCTCTCCTAAGGGGGCCACAAAAGCTTAGCGCTCTGAGGGCAGACTCCAGGGTCATCTAGAACTACACGTGCAGCGAAAGGCTAGGTCTAAGCCATGCACTTCTGAAGACAGACAGTCCTGGACTGATGGAAGTCACACCTGGAAAGAATAATCCCTCCTTGAAAGAGATCCACCCTGCACAAAATCTCTCCAAACAATTCCAGGGGAATTTGGAGCATCTGGAGGTCATCGTGAGAGCTGCTGCTGTCAGCACGCAGAGTGTGCCCACTGGCATGCCACAAACGGGGTGGCACGGAGGACCAGCCCTGCTCCCTCCGTGGTCCCCCTTGGGCTGCTGGTGGGAGGGAGCTCTGGCCTCTCTCTCTCACCCAATGCAAGACTCAAGGGAGATTTGGGAAACGAGAATGCCTAGCTAAACTGCACGAATATGCCACGAAAGCAAAGTTGTGCAGGTGCTGGGAGCTCCACCCCAGGACCGAGGCCGGCGCCAGTGCGGGGCGGTGCGATGCCAAATGTGTGAATGAAAACACAGGTGAGGCGGCAAACCAGGGTGAGGGACGAGGGAGGAGGACTTTATGGCAATTTCACGTCCGGCCTGGAGATGGAGATGAGGAGGTGGGTGGATTTGCTCCTGGTCATTTGTCTGCAGAGGCTGCAATATGCTTCGTAAGCACCTGGGGCTCAGTGACACAGCACACAAAGCCGACGATCCCCGCCATCCCACCCCAGCGGCGGGGAGGACAGAGACCAGGCCTGGAAGGGGCATCACCTGGACATTGGAGTCCTGCACCAGGCAGAGCTGCTCCTGGATCTTGTGGAGTTCTTCCTGCTGCCACCGGATATTGGCCTGCAGGATCCTTGTCCGCTGCTCCAGCTGGTCTTTGATGGTCTGGAACATGCTGAACTGTGCTGAAAACTTCAAGGTTGAGTCGAAAAACACAAGCAGATGAGAGATTATTTCAGCCCTGCAGGCAGGTCTCACGGCCGTTCTCGATCCATCTGCAACTTCCATTTCCCGTTCTTTAGCTGTCCTTCCCAAGTGGCCCCAGGGAGCCCCCGGCTGGACGCTGGGCAATGAGCAGGGGCCGCGGATGAGGGCTGGGCGTCCCAGGGGTCCCCGGGCCAGCCTTTCTCGGCTGGTGGTGACAGCAGGCCCACCTGGATGTGTATCTCTGATTGACCGCAGTGCGGTCTGGGAGGGCCAGGGAATCGGGACGTGATTTTGTAAGCAATGCTTACAGACTGACACTCCAAATTTGGACAGAACGAATGGTTCTGGAGACGCATGCAAAAGCAGGGCGTCAGAGTCCTTTTTCCCCCCTCATCTAGGACATGGCAGTGTGTATGTGACAGCTTAGCTGGCATTTTTGGGTCTCATCGTGACTCTAAACCAGACCCCGGTGCTCTCCAAACAGGCCCAGGACCATGGAGGCCTTATCCCCCTCACTCGCTCCCTCACTCACTTGCTTTTCTAGGCACATCTCAGAAATCTGTGCAAAAAAGAACTGAGGAGAAGAAAGCAATCGCTGGGCTGGTGTTTACACTGCGGCGAGGGACCTTCACCCCCGCTTTGCGCTTTGCGTAAGAACGCCAGGTCTCGCCTCCCTGCAGACCCCTCCGCACCCCTTCCTGGGAAGGAGGTTGGCCTTAGAAGACTCTTGCAGGTGAGCTCAGGTCCTGCCAACTGTTTACCTCAACACAAGGGTGCTCTGTGGAAGGAAATGCGATGTGGGGAGAGGCCAGCATGCCCTGGCCCGCAGCCCCAACTGGGGCCTCTTCATGACGCCCATTTCTTGCAGCAAATGAGTTTGCTGGACTCTGGCTTTTGCCTTTTTTTTTTCTTTTTTTGTCCCCAGTGACTTAACCTCAATGTCCTCCATCTATTTCTTGCCCACGGCCTTTGAAACATGTCTCCATGGGGCTGGGTGTAGCTCATGTCTGTAATACCAGCACTTTGGGAGGCCGAGGCGAGAGGATCACCTGAGTGCAGGAGTTTGAGACCAGCCTGGGCAACATAGCGACCCTGTCACTACACAAAATAAAAAATTGAGCCAGGTGTGGTGGTGCGCACTTGTAGTTCCAGCTACTCAGGAGGCTGAGGTGGGAGGATTGCCTGAGCCCAGGAGGTTGAGGCTGCAGTGAGCCATGACAGTGACACTATACTCCAGCCTGGGTGACACAGGGAGACCCTGACTCAAAAAAAAAAAAAAAAAATACTTCCAGGGCCTCTCTCCTTTCCTCTGCCCTTTGACTTCCCGTACATGGAAAAGCGCGGAAACTTGGAGAGTTGAGAATATGGATAGGATAGGTCACAGGAGGAAACAACTGACCACAGTTTTGGAGCACCAAAGTAATAAAGAGAATCAACGAGAAGAATGATGGCAGGGGCTGCCACTTGCGGAGACCCTCGTGTGCCAGCTGCCTCCCCAGGCAAGTGGAAGCACCAACGCTGTGTCTTCGCAACAAGCCCGTGCTATGCCAAGAGGCCATGCCTCACTCAAGGTCGCACAGCTCGACGACAGGCAGGCCAACACGTAAATCCCACATCTCAGGAGCTGGGTGAGGCTGAGAGGTTCTGCCAGCAAGGTCCCATTTCCACCCCCAATCCTATTTCAATCAGAGCTGCTCTGACATCAGACATCCTTTTAAAGGAAGGTTCTGCTGCTACACGAGTTTAAAAATACCTGGGCTAAACCAGACTGTCTCACAAAACTCCGAATCAGTACGTAACGAATCAGAGAACTCAGCTGGAAAGATAATTCACCTGAGAAGGCAAACAAGCTCTATCAAGTATTTAACAAATAAAACACAAAAGCTTTTTTTTTTTTGAGTTGGAGTCTCACTCTGTCACCCAGGCTGGAGTGCAGGGGCACGTTCATGGCCACCACAGCCTCGACCCGCTGGGCTTAGGCCATCCTTCTGCTTCAGCCTTCCGAGTAGCTGGAACTACAGACAGGCGCACAAAAGCTACAGTGGGCTAGACAATGCCAGAAGCTCGGGACCACCCCTTCCACCCGCTGTGGTCATGGCTCTCGGTTGCTGAGTTGGCTTCAGAAGGGAATGGTGAGGGGACTGAGTGGGCTAACACATGCTAGCTGCTTCTCATATTACCCTCATTACCTTCTAGCTCGTAGCCATTCTGTGAAAGAGATCGGGTCCACCTCAGAGACATTTTAGAGACACAGTATGAAGCAAAAGAGGCTTTTTATGGAAAGCTACCAGTTACCGCTGATAATCACTCCCCAGTTTTTGGATTTCATTCCCCTCCTTTCCCTGACAGTGGTAACATCAGGGAAAGCGATGAGGGAGAGTCATGGAATCTCCTGTTCCACTGGGGGTGGGCGTGAGAAGAACCGCCTGACTTGAAAAGTCAGTATTGTGCAAGCACGTCTTACAGGATATAGTTCCTATATTAAGTAGAGTATGCCTAACACACTAAGAGCAGTTACCATTAAGAGAAGTTCAGTAGACGAAAAACCAGAGTTCCCAAAGGGCCTACGTCAGACTACTTTGCATTATCAACATCGACAACCTTCATGAGGCGAGACCCAGAAGTTAAAGGAATTCTCATTTCCTATGCCTTTGACTTGAGAAAGTTACTAATTTCATACCAAATATGCCTTGGAAATTTGAAGAGAAAAATCATTATTCTGTTTTACTTATTTATTTTGCCTAATGAGGGTGAACATAGCCTATTTTAATTAGTAGACCGGGAAGGGAAAGCTTTCGCATCGCTGCTCAACCCTGACTCTAGCAAGAAGCATGTTCGAGGATGTGTCTTTCTTATTCCAGGAAAACATTAGCGACTCCTGCTAAGAGGGCATATGTTCTGAAATAAGTTTCCCTCAGTGGTGACAGATGTGCACCAACACAGAAAAGGCCACACTCTTGTCAGAGGGTGGCCAGTTGCAACTGCTGGTGACCCGCCACCTGGGACCCAGGTCTAGCTTGGGGCCAGGGATCAGGGTGGGGCTCAGTCCCCCATAGAGGAACTGAGTCAGAGCTCGTCAGAGTCCGCACCAATCAGATCGACTGCTCTCCGTGACCACCCATGGAACGACCCCTGTCTCACCCAGTCTCTCGCCAGGCACCAGGCCTGTCAGACAGGTTTGTGACAGCCTGATGAAGCATATACCTGGGTCCTTCTTCCCTCTTTCCCTGGCCTCTCCATCTGACAACCTCCTGCCCATGTTTCCAGGGCCAAGGCAAGGGTTGCCTCTTCCAGGAAGCCATGTGGAACATTTCCTTCCTGGTTCTATAAAAACCCATGCCCTGCCACGGGCGGTGTCTCTGTTTATGTGCCCGGCTCTCCCTTTAATTCTGAGTGCTAAAAAGCCAGGGCTGAGAACCAGCTTTGCATCTCTCACACCTCACTCACTGACTGACCCAAATAGTAACTCTCTGAGTGTTGTTGAAATGAGGAAGGAATTACTCAGCAAAGCCGTAATCCCTTTCTTTCTTTTTAAAACAAATGTGATATTTACAGTGCTGGACTCACAGCTTTTAGATCCTTCCAGTCTTCCTATGACATGCGGCCTAATTCAGACCTTTTTAAAATATCACCGCCAGTTTGGAGTCGCAAAAAACGAGAGGAATGAGAAAAAAATGGCAAAGAGGGTGTCAAAAGGACGGTGGAGAAAAGAACTTGGAGGATGTATCTGGGCAGGACAAGAATGACAGAAGAGGCCAGGCATGGTGGCTCATGCCTGTAATCCCAGCACTTTAGGAGGCCAAGGTGGGAGGATCGCTTGCGCCTAGGAGTGTGAGACTAGCATGGGTAACACAGCAAGACCTTATCATTACAAAAAATAAAAAAATAAAAAACTAGCGGTCATGGTGGTACACGCCTGTAGTCCCAGGTACTTAGGATGCTGAGGCGGAAGGACTGCCTGAGGCCAGGAATTTGAGGTGTGGTGAGTTGTGATCCTACCACTGCACTCCAGCCTGCATGATGGGAAAAAAAAGAACAAGGATCGCAGAAGCAGCCAGATGCAGGATGAGCATCATGGCTCGACGTGCCCCACTGCGAGGAACATTTCCGTGTCAGGGCCTCGGCTGGTACCTACGCACATGACACACAGCAACCCCCACCCGCACCCTTCTGTCTTGAGGAAGAACTCCTTCTCCCCAAGTCCCAGACTCACCTGTGCCATGGGAGTAGGTGGGTTCTGCAAAATGGTCTGAGGCAAGAGTTGTTGTGAGAGGTCACAGGGTGACGGGGAAGACAGCGGGGCCTGAAGCAGAGAGACAGGGGTCAGTTAACACTGCTTCTGGGCGTTCTGGGGTCTTAGGGGTACCGTCTCTTGGCCGGCTGGGTTTTCCAGCTTAAAGGAAGCCCTTTCTTCTGCAACTAGGGTGAACAGCCGAAAGTCAAAACTTCCAGAAGGGATCGAAGCATCTTTCCCCACCTCCACGGCTTCCCATGCAGGGCGTGTGGTCAGAGCCAACACCCAGCTGGCGGAGGCTGCCGGCGGCTCTCGAGCCTCTCAGGGCCCAGCCTTCCTCTCCCACCGCTGTGCTCTCCCAGGCTGCTGCTACCTGCCCACGCCTGGCAGCTCCGCTCCACCGCCCCTTCCTCGCTTCCTGCTCTAGACTCCAACCCTGGCGGACTGTTCTTCTCCCGACTGGATTAGTTCTTAGCAGGCGTCATCGAGAGGCATAAGTGGGACGGAGGAATATCCAGAGCGGGCCTGTGCGCGCCCTTCTCCTTCCTGCAGATGGACAGACACGCACTGGGCATGTCTGTGTCCGGGAACTCATCCAGGCAATGAAGACAGGTGATTTCACCAGCCTCTGCCTGGAACCTTTAAAGAGAAGCCTGGGAAGTGAGTGGAGTCACGTTCTGGTCCCCTGATCGCTTGGGTGGGTGGGGAGACGATTAGAAGTGAGAAATGAAATCCTCCAGTTCACGGGCCGTCAGAGTTTTCAAAAGAAAAGGAAAAGAATGCTTCTGAAATTATTCCCAAACTGCCCCCAGTCCCCAGGGACTAGAAAGAGCAGCCCACAAGGGAAGGGTCACCCAGGACAGCGCTGGGAGGAGGATGGCAACAGGAGACCTTGTGTTGGGTGAGAAGTCCCCGGCACAGGGCTAACTCAGGAGCTGGTTTGAGCGCTTCTAATTGTGCCGCTTGCACAACTGGGGGAAACGGAAGCCACCACTGGCAGGATGAATCTCACTGGACAGCAAGACTGTGGAAGAAAGGTGGGCGCAGCTTCCAAGCACATCTCGAGGTGCCTGGAGAGAAGGAAGGTGGTCTTTGTCATGTCCTATTTGAAAATAAAACGTGTCGCCCAAGTTCTCAAGCAGGCTGTGTGCAACCTTTCCAGGAAGGTGATGCCGTCTCTTCATGTGCAAAGCATCCGTGAGGGGTAGGTGGGAGGTGTGTTTGGCGACTGCCTGGATATGTTCCCCTCCAATTCCTAGAGGTTTCTCCCATCTAGACATGGAAGTCTATGTCCCTTTTGATGGGGCTCTCGGGACTGCCTTGACCAAGAGGTACGGCAGGAGTGACACTATGTGACTTCCAAAGCTAGGTCATTAAGGGCAGTACAGCTCCTGCCTGGCTCTCCAGGTGTCTCTTCTTGGAATCCGGCCACCATGGCATGAGAAGCCCAAGGCTTGGAGAGGATGGTGCCTCAGCTGAGACCAGCCTCTTGCCACCCCAGCACGGGTGCTAGACATTCATATGCAAATTCCTTGTGGGATATGGGTTCTATAGCATGCAAGACTCCCGACACCAAGGAGCAGAGAAGAGCCGTCCCCACCATACCCTTTCCGAATTCCTGATCCAGACTCTGTGAACGTGACACATGCCACTTTATGCCACTGAGGTAGGTGTGGTCTACTAGATGACAACGGATGGCCAGAGTGTTGTATGACTTCACATATAGTCAGTGTGCTTTCTAAGAGGCCACTCATTCTGACGTTCTGGAAGGGTCTGGCACACATCAGGTTCTAGAAGGGTCTGTGTTGCCTGATACATGCGGAGGTACATTCTTATTGTTTTCACTGGCATGAAACAGAATTCAGAACGGGAGGATTCTAATAACACACCGCCAGACGCTCTGGGCGTAGGACCCCAGGTTTGTAGTTTGTGTTTTCCTTTTAAAATTCACCCAGATTTTGTATTCTATGGATATTCAGCCACATTAGTTTCATCATGAAAATTTTTAAAGTTAGTTGCCAATCGAACGACTTAACTTCCCACCCCCATCTGACACACCACACTCTCAATCTCTAAGTAAAACCGATTCTCCAGGAAGAGACGGCACATCACCCATGGCTCCGCAGCCCCCGCCATGCTGCAGCATACCCCCGTGAAATATGGGGTCACACACATACCGGTATCGTTGCTGTCTGGCTGAGCCCGGGCACCGGTAACTCTTGGGGCAGGGTAGCTGATCTTGGCAAAGCCGGGGTGCTGGCCTCTGCCATCAGCTTGGTCGGAGTGGCTGGAAGAAAGCCACAGATTATCTTCCTGACCCACAAATATGTACCGGCTTTCTCATTCAACAGGGGGACAATGATGCGTGTGTATACAACACAAGAGCTGAACTGGGATCTCGGACAAAGGAAGCCTACCATGAATGGAAGTGGTTTAGCTGAACCACAAAATCCCAGCCTGCGGAGGCAGAAGGCACTACGACCACCCCCAGATATCACTTCCACCCCTGGGTCCAACCTCCTGCCTAAACAGACACCTTGCCAACGTTACTGAAGGTTGGTACCACCGTGGATACCAGAATATGGAGGTGACTGGAGGGCAGGAAGGCAGTGGGAAAGGAAACGAAGAGGATAAATAGCATGACAACTTCTGCTTCACAGGCGTGGACATCCCTGATTCGACTCTGGCCTGGGACCCTTCTGGAGGCCATGTCCTGTCCCCACTGGTCCGATGGGGCCTCCCAGCCCCCCCCCCCCCAGGGACTTGCACTCACAGGTGGGTTCTGACATGGCTGTGTGTGAGGATTTGTGGGAACTTCTTGAAGACGCTGAGGGTGAATGGCTGGCATCAAGGCCCGAGGCACCCACGTCAAGTGCATTAAAGTGCTGCTGAGGTTCCAGGCTTGAGCCCTTGTCCTGAAACACACACATGAAAAAGCCCACGTTTCAGCATCGGGATGATGTGAATACATGGCGTGAATTTAGTTCTCGGTATGAAGAAAAACTTGGAAGCTGCTGAGACAAATCCTGTAGCTGTTTGGGGACAATTCCAAACAGACTCGAGTGCAGCATGTATGCACATATATAATCTAAAAGCCACTGGGAGGCTTGTAGCCCAGATGCAGTATTTATTATACTTTCTCACCTTTTGCTTTTAGATTTTCATAATTGACTGCACTTTGTTTTTCCCTTAACACTGTCACCTTATCACCCAGTATCTTGGCTTTCCAAGAAGAAAGAGTCAGGTTCCAGAAATAGGGTAGCTGTTGGCATTGGATGGTGACCACAGCCAGTGGAATAGACACCCTGGACCTTTCTAGGGCATTCCCTGTACTGCCTCTCTTTCTCTGCAGCCTCAGTGCCCCTGGAGTGAAGGACAGACAGGTCCTGGGCCTGTTTCCACTGTTGCCCAGGCTGGAGTGCAGTGGAACAATCACAGCTCACTGCTGCCTTGACCTCCTAGATTCAAGTGATCTTCTCGCCTTAGCCTCCTATGTAGCTGGGACTACTGGTGTGTGCCACCATGTCTGGCTAACATTTTGAGTTTTTGCAGAGACAAGGTCTCACTATGTTGCCCCGGGCTGGTTTCAAACTCCTGGGCTCAAGTGATGAACCTGCCTTGGTCTCCAAAAGTGCTAGGATTATAGTCGTGAGGCACTGTGCCCAGCCCAGTTAGGATAATTTTTAAGCCAAAGAAGAAAACATAGTGATTACCTTCTTGGGTCGTGTTCCTACCTAGTCTTAGAAGGATGGTCTATATTCCATGGTCTTGGTCTAAAATCCTGTGCATGTGAGTTTACATGGCTATTCTGTCTGAGTCACAGCCCAGGTGAAAGTAGACACTGTGTGTGTACAAATAGAGCTGAAATGACGGACATGTGACCTACAGGCCTTGGGATAAAACAGAACTACCGGATGTGCTAGGGTAGATGTCAATTTCAGGACCTTGTTGCTCAGTGACAGAGTCTCCGTTAGACCAGGCCCCTCAGGTCCCTGAACCATGGCTTTTGGAGAATTGTGTCTCCTAGTCCGCAGGGAAATAAGTCTAAGAAGTGACAGGAAGCACCAAGGAACTTGGAAAGCTATGTGACATCTCTGTGTATCACATCCATGCATAGGAACCTGCATTTTACAAATGCGTCTGTCAGTGACAGATGTGAGACTGAAAAAAACAAACTGGTTCATCATCACAGATTGTCTGAGAGATTTTACTTTAAAGAGTTTCTTAACCCGGTGCCTGAGATGGGGTTTGTACGCTTATAGGTATGCACATTTGATGAGAAAACGTTCCATAGGACTCCAAGATTCCCCAAGGAGCAGAAACCTCAATGATGAATTTGCAGCTGGATGACACCATCGTGCCTGTTCTTCAGCCGTGATACATGGTGCGTATAACACCTGCCTATTAACAGCTTAATTCCATTCTGTGACATGATACATGATGTATTATGTGACAGAGCTGGGTAATAAACATGCCCATAAACAATGACAGCTGTGTCCTACCAGCATGCTGGTGATGAATCACTGTATAATGTATCCCCACATAGCATGGCAGCCAGAGAGACTCTTCTCTCTGAGTTTTAAAGGTGATTTCCCCTTCTTCTCTTGGTCCTCAGGGGCCAAGAGGCACTTCTGTTGAAACTAAGACAGACTGAAAGGCTGGATCATTGCTGTGGTACCTGCCTCTGGCCCAAGACTCTGGGTTCAAGGTCATCGGGCACCTTGGCACCTGAGCTTCCTCAGTTCCAGGAGGCACTCTCCTCCAACATTTGAGCATCTCTGAAGTTGGGATGTGTCCTACTGAGGAACAGAAATCCTTATTTCACAGATTAATTGGAAGCATGTTCTCTTTCTTAGGGGAGATAAAATTATGGTGTCTCTCTCAGACTTTTTGTTGTTTCTCTTTTCCTCCCAACATCTGTGTCTGTTTTAAGAATGGCCTTGGGCACACCTATAGTCCCAGCACTTTGGGAGACTGAGGCAAGAGGACTGCTTGAGCCCTGGAGTTTGAGACCAGCCTGGGCAATGTACCGAGACCTCATCTCTACCAAAAATCTCCCCCCAAATTAGCCAGGTACACGCTTGTGGTCCTAGTAACTTGGGAGACGGAGGCGGAGGGATCACCCAAGGCTGCAGTGAGCTGTGATTGTGCCACTGTACTCCAGGCTGGGTGACAACATGAGACCCTGACTAAAAATAAATAAATAAATAAAAATAATGGCCCTTGAGTTATAGGTTTAATTACTTGCAGTCTCCATGGTTCTCTGGAGTTGTCTGACATACCAGGAGCAAAGACCAGGAGAAGCCCGGCCGGGCAGAGGGGATCGGAGAGCTCAGGATAGGGAAGGAAAGTAACAGGCTTTGTGAAGGGAGAAGGCTTTTCAAACAGTTGAACTCCCTGACACAGAGCTGATGCCGACATGGCTGTTAACTGAGACCTTGGATACAGAAACAGGAAGTGCACCTTACTGGTGACATGGATAGCATTTGAGAGGCAGTCTATGCAGAGGGTGCCTGAGTCCTGGAGGCAGTGTCACAACACTCAGGCTAAAGGAAGACCGGGCCCCTCAATGGGTGACAGAGTAACTCCCAGCTTTTTATCTGTGGGAGAAATACAAAGTGGGCTTAGGATAGCCATTCTTGCATTCTTGGAAGCTGCCGGGCCATGCTTAAAGTCCAGAAGCTGTCTCGAGCTCAGCTCTGTGAGTTCTAGCCCTTGGGTGCTCTTGGGTGCACAGCTGACTTCTGTGTGCTTCTAGACCTCATCTGAAGCACGAGGATAGCAGCAGCGCCTGTCACACAGGAATGTCATGAGGGGCCGAAAGCAAATACTAGAAAAACACCTGAGAGTGGAGCAAGGGCTCAAGAAATATCGCTGCTGTTTTTATGATCACAACTCACAGAAGGTTCTTTTCCTAGCCATCTTTACCTTTATGCCCCTGGCAGGGATGGCATACCTTCAGGGCTGAGGGGCGGAGGGCCTCGGACGGTGGGTCTTCCACAGCCAGCTCCTGCTTCCTTTCCACCCGGACATCTGCATAACTGCGTAAAAACCAAGAAACCACAGTGGAGGAAGGACATGCAAGGACAGCATCAAGCTTCTCCATACCTATTTCCCATCAGTCAATGCAGAGGGTCCCGCCTGTCACTTGTTTGAAGGAATGGACTTTATCCCCTGTCTAAGGTATCAGTGATTTCTAATATTTTAATTTCAAATATTTTTATTTCCAGAGTGTTTTTATTTCACTCTCCTTTACTAGTCTTTTTACCCCCCTGAAATCTCCAATTGCAATTGTCTTTAAAAACACACTTTCATCTATGATATAAGCTTCTGCCTTTAAATAATCAGAAGCCTTTCTTAAAACCTGCTCAGTGCATATGGAGGCGTGACACACAACTTTTTTAGGAGTTACAATTCTCAGAAAGTTTCCTCTCAAACAAACCCAGAACCAGCCAGACCGAGACTGCTGAGAAGCCTGATTTTTCGACAGCGTGGCTAAATCAATTCAGTGCCATGGCGCCGAGGGACCCTGCTATGCCTGTGCCCACGTGCAGAGACGCAGGCTGGGCGAGGGGCCCTGTGAAGCATCATGGCTCTTGGCCTCTGGAATGCTCGTCACCTTATTCACCTGTTCCTTCCCTCCCTCCTGAGGGTTTCTTTCTAAGATCTGGGAGGTGGAAGATGGAGAGGAAGAGCCAGGGGGAGGGCAGAGCCCAAAGAATGAGGCGTCGATGGCTTCCAGCCTCCCCTGGGCCAGGGGGCCCTCTGGCAGACAACCAGGCCTGGTGGCAGTGCAGGGGGCTGGCCTGGAGTCAGAAACCACCGCTGGTGCCCTGCTTGAGGGCGGGCTGGGAATCGGCCAAGTCCCTGAGCCTGGGTATGAAGTATGATGACACGGGGTCAGGGTCATTGGCCAAGGAAAACCAGTGTTTCTCCTCTTTCCTCCATAGTAAAGAAGAGTGACTTGGTGACTAGATGTACATATAAGGGTGTGTGTGTGTGTGTGCGTGTGTGTGCGTGTGTGTGTGTGTGTGTGTGTGTGTGTGTGTGTGTGTGTCTGTGCCACTCCCCCTTGAAGTCCTGCTCATCTGCCCCGGGCCAAGGGCTCCCTCAGGCCACCGGGGACCCACCGGAAATCCACTCCCCCTGGCAGCCTGGTTGTTTTCCCAACACTGCCTCCGTTGCCAGCAGGGGTTTTTAAAACATTAAAAATAAAGGGGAGTATGTGTTGGAGTTATTTAGAGGCAAAATTTAAATTTTCTTCTCAAAGCAGCGACAAGGGAAGGCTGCAGGATGGATGGATATGAGGGAAAATATGTAAGTAGGTCAGTGAAGCAGTAACTTACTAAGTAATACTCCGGCAGCCTGCAAGAGTCCATGAGCCCGTCGAAGGGGGCTGATGGAAAGCTGGAAGGAAATCTCAGCCCTGAGAAGACAGAGCCAGTATGTACCTGGTGTACCCGGGAGGGAGCTGAGCTCTGGGGATTGTTCTGGGATCGGCAGGGGACAGCCCAGGCTTGGTCTTCAGAAACTGGGGACGCCTGAGGCCACTGCTGATCTGACTTGGCTGGCAGGGCCTCCCACCCCTGCCCGGGTGTGGCAAAGACGCAGCCCAGACCCCACACCCCGCAGTACCTGACCACTGAGTGTGTGCACACGATGAACTCGGGCTTGGAGTTCCACTGATGGTAGGTGATGTAGTAGTGAGTCTGTAGCCAAATCCACTGCTGACCTTTGGTCAGAAATCGGTAGCAACATGACTTTCCTTTGCCAAACTGCATCACTGTTAGCAGAAAATGGATACTGTGTATCACAAACATGAACGCAGACACGATCCTTCCCCCAAGAGTTACTGTTCAGATACAAACTCTCAAAGACAACACAGAACGTGGCTTATTTTTCTGGCTGCACTGTATTTTAAGTGGCTATCAGGATCATGATAAACTGGAATAAATTCTTAAACAGTAGAAGAGCGATCCACATACTTTTCCAAGTGCTCAGAAGCTCAAAGAGATCCTCAAATAAGGGCAGAAGCAGGGAGATTTTGAACTGGAGGTTTAACTGAAAAGAGACCCAGGTTTTCCTGGTGTTCATCTCCCTGCTGCAGGTGGGGCTGTCTTTGGAGCTGCAGGGGTCGAGCTCAGTAGAGAGCAGCCTGACGTGGGGAGAAATGGCCAGGAAACCGACAGCCAGCAACCTCTGGACAGATTCCACAGCTGTCAGTCAGTGGGTCACGCTCCATCCCCCCAGTTCTCAAATAAAGAGTCTGGTACAGATGCCTCCACCCCAGACCTCCCCTTGCCCTAGAGCTGCCTGGAGCTCCCTACAGTGATGTCTACCGGTGGCCTCTCTGGGGCTGTCCAGAACAGAATGGATGCTGATGGTTTTTTAGCCTGGACAGGGCAGAAAAATGGACTATGGATCCGAGGAAGAAGGAATATTTGGGCCTGAAATCTAGTACCTCTTTAGGAAAACGGTTAAGAGAAATCTTAACAAGGAAAATAAAGGTACAAAAGGAGCCACTGGCTTGGGGAAAGTACTTTGAAGAGGAGAGAAGCCAGCAGATTGAGGGTGTAGGGTCAGCAGGGCAAGAACATCTTGTCAAGTCATGGGGCAAGTCTTTCAAATGCTGAATGTCATTTTTTGGTCCGCTGGCTTTTCCCTGTCGGAAGAGTCAGAAGCAACCAAAGGTTTAAAGCAGCTCTGCTTTTCAAATTTTCATGTGTACACACATCACTTGGGGATCCTATTACAACAGATGTGCTGATTCAGTAGGCTATTTTCTACAACTGGGGGAGACTGAGGCTCCATACGTCTAGCAAACTCCCTGTGATGCCTATGTAGCTGGCCCTGCCCTAGACCATACTTTGAGGAGCAAAGGGCTAGGATTTTACAGATTAGCCTTAAATTCTAACAGCTGATCCAGATGGAACTCAAGCTTGCTCTTCCTTCATAAGAAAAGCATGGAAGAGAATGTTCTAATGGGCACAAGGCATGTATTCAAGTCCAATGTAATGATGTATTTTAGTATGTTCTTTATCGTGTATCAGGATCCGAAGGCCAACATTTCTATAAATGTTCCTGTCTAAAGCTAAGGGCTGACACTGAAAACATGGTGTTAAGTGGTTACTTCCTGACTTCTCTTGCTAAGTGAGACAGAGGACAAGCTTGGAGCTCTAGCTCCCTGCATCAGAATCCTAACCCCCATAGGCTTGTCAGTATGTTCTCCTGTGTCAAAGAGCCTTCCTTGACCCCTCCGCCAGCTGCATGAGGGTCCTCTTGAGCGCCCCAATATCCCATGCACACCCCCTTCGATGCACCGACAACATCCTGCAAAGTCACCTATTTCCGGCTTTCTCAGCAGACCCTGCCCTGCAGGATAGCAGGAAGATGCTGAGCATCCTTGAGTGCCAGACCTAGCTCAGTATCCGGCCTACTGCCAGTGACCAATACATGTCTGCTGACAAAAGAATAGTTACGTGAGTTTAGTGCCTTGTTACTGAAATGCAGTGCATAACTTAATCCTGGCACTGCCCTGGTGTCTTAATTAGGATTAAATGGTGCGTCTTTCTGGATGTGATGGGAAAGGTGCCAGGGGCTGGGGCAAAGTCAGTTTCAGGAGAAAACATGACACGGGGCAGATGTAGAAAACAGGACTCTGGCATGCCTCCAGATGATTTCAGAGAAAACCAAGTTCCCGGCTTCAAAGAGAAACCAGGTAACCAGCAGCCTGGGCCCCGGCAGAAGAGGCCCCTGTGCCCAGGATGGGTGAGCGGTACTCACGGTGCTGGTGGCACCTGGCCAGGAGCTCCAGGTCATCGATGTGGTAGTAGTCATAGCCCGAGGTTCCCAGTACTTCAAAAGGCAGGTATCCTATGATTGGAGGGGCTCTGCACAAGGACAATTGTCATTAGAGAGGACACAGCAGGACTCACCACGGTGGCCTCGCCTTTCCTCGTGTAGGGTACGGTTGACATGGAGGCCTTGTTGGGAAGAAAAATAACTTTGCAATGGTCAAAACCAGAGAGGCTGTGTTTTCCAGAGGGCTCAACTTTTTCTGGCATCTAGATACTACCTTCCCTTGGCATAACCGAGCCCAATGAATAATAAATTTTATCGCTACTGAATAATTAAAAACAGCTGTTGATTGGGTCAACCCAATCACCAACGTATAATAAAAAAATTAGAGGGTGAGATGGGGAGAGATTTTGAGGTTTTTTTTTTTTGAGTTGGAGTCTCACTCTGTTTTTAAGTTGTGAAAAATGTTACAAAAGAAAGAAGAAAGAATGAGCCAAAGATCAAAGGGTGTTTAAAAAAAAAAACAAAAAAACCCAAGAGGTTTCTCTCATCTCTGCTCCTGCTTTACTGAGAGCTGGAAATGACCCTGTGCAGGGATCATCCCACGGATGCCCCCAGACTGAGGCATCCGACCCAACTCACTGTATTCAAATATGGGGCAAATGCAGTGGAGAGAAACTGCCCACCCATGGCCAGATGACTTTGCCTACTACCAGAGAGTCCTTCTCCTTTAAAAGACCAGGCCCAAATTTCTCTCCCAAGGAAAACTGCCTCATGCAAACAACACTTGGGAAGGACCCAACCCAAATATGTTTTTCTTTTCACAAACCTGTGATCCAGAAATAAAAATTTCCATTCCAAGCTATGCCTTGAAGTGAATTCCTCTAAAGGTTCGTCAACTATGCACATTTCCTGTATTGGAAGGAGAAAAAAAAAATGCTGCCTGGGGTGTCAGATGCTCACCCTAGGTTTGTTCAAGATGAGTGCATGGTGGGGAACAGAAGTTAAAATCGTTTCGAGCGAATCTCTGAGTCGTGTTGGACTGAAACTCATCATCTGTAGCTAATTTTGGTATTAGCGGATACTAAATTTATTTCACAAGCTGGGGAAAAAATACCTAGGAGCCAAAATGTCGCACCATCCCTTCCCATTATCGGGAAGTGTGGTAAACATGTGGAAAATGGCTTTTCATCTGAATTTGAATTACTCATTTAACTCAACATTCATGCCATAGATGTTAAAGCAATCACAGACAAGAGAATGCAGACAAACCCTCGGCGTTCTGACACTTGGTTTTCATCCATGCCTGCCCTGGGTGGTATGAATGTTGGCGTGAAAGGTGGGGAGGTTTTTAAAGAGTTCAGACAGCATCTCTATGGGCTGAATAAGTGATGCCACCTTCCAACAAAACAACTTGCAGGAAACCAGGGTAGGGGAGAGGGCACGTGTGCAGGCACAGAACCAGACATTTCAGATTTCAAAGCCAGTGCCAAATTCATTGCAGTACTATTCTCTCCCATCAAGACAATTCATTGCATATAACAAAATGTGACTCAATTGTAATAGCCCTGCACTGAGAACTGTCTTGCAGGTACTTGCCTTTAAGAATTGTGGAGTTGCCAGGCGAACGGTGGCAATGAAGCAGACCTCCTTTCCTAGGGGCACCCGGCAAGGTCTTGAAAGGGTGTTGTCAAAGCCGTTACAAGAGGGGCTAGGCACTAGGGGTTTGAGAAGAGAACACGCAGGTCAACTCTCTCTGGTGACAGTGGCTAACTGCTATCTGACAATTACTATAAGCCAAGCATTTCCCCCAGGAGTTTTATGTACAGTATATTGATTCATTTCATTCTTACAACATCCAGATGAAATAGGTACTACAATTATCCCCATTGCACAGATGAAGAAACTGAGGCACCGAGTGAAGGAACTTGCACAAGGCAAATAGCTTGCTAGAGGCAGAGCTGCAATTTGAATCCATGCCGGTGACCAATCACTGAACTGCCTCTCACTTCCACTAGTCTGACAGCCTTTAGTCGATGGTGCTGGGAAAACTCTTCTGCAAAATGAGAAGACAGACTCATTCTGCATGGAAGTTCCAGGTACTCACTTTAGCTGCTGTTTTAAGGGTGAGTTCCATAATCAGACGGTGTTTCTGATACTGAGAGTCCCAGGAAAAGCAGTGGTGTCTTGGCATCCATTGATACCCTGGCTCCAACACCTGTGATTCAAAGGCCTCTGCCCCAAACTCTCCCTTGGGAGACGAGGCTGACGCAGGAACTGGGTCTGGACCATGGAGGGGTCAGTCTCAGGATTTGAAGTCACCCCCAGAGGTACACAGCACCCACAACAAAATTCACTAGTTCCATAGCATTGCACAGGTGACAGAATATGTACCCCTGCTTCTTCTTATGTATTCCCACAAGTCTGGGAAGGCATTACTATCCTCATTTTACAGATGAGCAAACTGAGGCCCAGAAAGTTTCTATAATTAACCAGCGTCACCCACAATAGAAATAACAGGGCAGGAATGCTACCCAGGTCTTTGGGCTCCAAGTCCAGGGTTCACATAGGGTCGAGGCACATGCTCCAAGTTGATACCCACCATGGTGCTGGGCCACTCCCCCGGTGGCCTCAGCAAAGTCCTTCCTATGAGATTCTAGACCTGCCTTCAGGGTAACTGTGGAGAACTGACTGGTCTTACGGGTCAGAGAAAAATTCAGCACTCTCTAGGTGGAGTATGCTAGTTGGGAAAAAGAACCCTGTTGACTATGAGAAAAGACAACTTACCACAGAATTCTCAAGTTGGCTCTACATGGGATTCCCCTGGGACTTTGGGTCCCACCCAGATCAGCTAATTTAGAAACTCTAGGGGTGAAGCCCAGGCATCAGCAATTTCAAAAGCTCTGCAGGTTTACCAGCATGCAGCCAGGGCTGAAGATCGCCATAGCAGATAATCTACACTACCTTTTCTTTTTACAACATAGGTGATTATATCCTGTACATTTGGAACTTAAACATCGCTATATTTTCCAATTTAACTAAGAAGATATAGAGCATCAGAAAACTAAATGCATTATAAAATGAAATTTGCAAGATCATCTTTGGATTTCAGCTTTCCAATCATTTTTTTTTTGTTTTATATATTTATAGGTTCCTAAGCGATTCTATCATGTGGTCTTCTCTCCGCGAACATGAATAAATTCATTTTACCAAACACAGTCTCGGAATTCATTCACATAAATACTAATGTTTCCAAACATGAATATAAAGTGGGCAAAATAAAAAATAGTGGTCTCTGGAGAGCTGACATCTGTCACAAGTTGGCTTAGACAATTGCGATTAATTTGTAGGGTGAGCCAAGAAACTTATCAAAGGGAAGGAAAACAATTTCACATAAGGGTCTGCAGATGTGAACATCTGTGTAATTAAAAAAAGACATTTAAAAAACTTCCCAGATGTGAAATACTTCCTCTGCTTGAGTCTAAGAGACATTACCCAGCCAGATAATGACCTAATAAAATCCTCCTGACTTTTTCAGAATACCAAGATCTTCCAAGCGAACTCCTGAAGACTTCCCAGGAATTTAAGAGAAAGCCTCCTTCATGTATCTCTAAACGATGCGCCGTGTTTGAATGATCCTTTTAGCTATTAAGTTCATGTGCTCTGCCAATAAGTACCTTCCTCTGAATTCACTGCGAGGAAGAGAGGAGGGACAGAAAAAGATGGTAAAGTGGGAAACACCTGCCCCAAGACTTCCTGTCTCTGGTGACTTCTTCACGAGGAGCAGGGACTCGGACCACGGACGTTAGGTGGTTGTTTTGCAGAGCTTACTGTTGGCTGGCTGTCTCCCAAAGTAGTTTTATCTGTTCTTTTATAACATCTAAGGCTTTAAAGATGAAAATGCACCCCTAAAAGGGAAATTTCATTATTGCTGGTGGCCTGCGCTTGATATTTTTACAGATGGGTCCGAAACGGAGCAAATTCTCTTCTCGATAAGCTTTTTCACCAAAAGGCTTAAACTGAGAGCATGATCAGGGTGACAGACAGGAAATCAAGGATGAATGTTTTAAGAGGCCAATGAGAAAACCTGGGGGGAAAACAGAGGGGAAAGAAGATACCTGAAGCATTTTGCCAACTCCAGCCTTGGTGTTCTGGAGTCCCTGGGACTTTACAGCCCTATTTAGCATTTAGAAGACCTTCTCTGGCACTTCATATCCCAAGGTAGTTCAAAGATATTAATTAAGGATTCAATTAGTTGTTTCAATTTAAGTAATAGAAAGAATATATCTAATTACAACTGGCTTCCTAAGCCTCTCGGAAGGATTGGCCCCTAAATGCAGGCAAGGCTCTGTCTTCTCAGATCTCTGATCACTCACGATACAGAGGAAAGCAATTCTTTCTTGCAATGTTTTACCGCCAGAGCCATCTTACTCAAAATTCACCTTCCTCTTGCCAAAAGTGAAATAGATAATCTTCCACAGTGGGAATTGAGTCTTGTTCTCTGTCTCCAGCTCTGAGCAGGTGTCTTGCACACAGTAGGTGCTCAACATGTGTTTATTGGATGAATCTCTTCGTGAAATGATCTTCCACCTCACATCCAAACCACAGCTTAAGGCCCAGTTTGGGAAGAGACTATCTCATGCTTGCCAGTAACTAGCACACAGGTCTTGGGACTCCAAGATAGCTTCCTCTCCGAAGTGAAACCTGCCCTGGTGCTGCTGGTGGCCGGTCTACTCTGCTGGCGGTGGGAGATACCCGCAGCACATGGTTCTGGGTTCCACTAGCACGCAGGGGAACTCACTACCCTACTGATGTGCTTACACTGGTCACAGGAGGTCTGGACAAGAAAACTGTGAATCAGCACATAGCAGTCACCAATCTGGGATGGAAAACAGCGCAAATGCCTGTCGCGGGACCCTGCTTGGAGAGAGGCAGGGTGGAGCTTCCCTTATGGTCTTCCTGTTAACGTGATCCACAGGTGATCAAATCCTGAGCCTTTTATTTCAGTCTCTAGTTTGGGAGACCCTGAGTTTTGCCCTGGGCCGTCATTCTTGGGATTCAAAAATCAAGAGTCTGAAGGTTCTCAGGAGATTCAGAATGACTAATGTCTGTCCATCTTGGAAGTACCCAGGGTTGGCTTCCAAGTCTGCTCATGACAAAATTGAGTTCCCAAATCAGTCACGATGAGGAGATAAAGAAAACTCTAGGGACAGGGGGATCTCGGGTGATGAAGAACTTGTTTCGAAAGTACTCAGGAAGGAGAGAGGAAGACGAAGAGATGATCAGTGTGAACATCAGTTAACAGCAGAAGAATAGAATTAAATGGAGAAAGACGTATTGACTCTTCCACTCAGTTAACAGCCCAGTCATCAGAACAAATATTCTCATCAGAGATGACGTGCTTATGATAAATTAGTTGCAGCAGCCAGAGGAAAACACACTGTTAGTTGACAAGAAAAGTGACAGAGAGTTTTCTTGGTACTTCTTGGGACAAATGAAAAACAAGGCTGATAGTTGTCTGGGAAGGTATGAAACCATCCCTGATGAGGTTTTGCTCCAGGAAGAATAAAGTTCCTAAATTCTAATTGTGATCAACGTCCTAAACGTTTGGGCTACGGTTTTGAAATGGCGAGGAAAAATAATGTTTTGCACTTTCATAAGAAATCATCTCCCACTAATAAAGCACAATTTTGGACTTTGTTTTCCCTCTCTGCAGTGTGCTTGACCCAACATGTCCTGAACTGCCAGGTGACGACAAGGCTCTTGGGGGGCGACGGGGAGGAGCACAATAATCCTGCCTGTTCCGTGGCTGGGGGCCGTGCCCATTTGCTCAGGTACTGCTGGGCTCTTTGCTCCTTCTTGCTGGTCCCATTCAGCACTGGGAAGAGCAACACCGGCAGGAGGGCAAGAATGCCGAGAGAAAGGTTCGCAATTCACTGGATTAAAAAAAATCACTCTCAAGGAAAACCCTAAGTCTTACTCAAATATTTCTTCTTTCTCCAGCATTCCTTCATTAAAAGACTTTTTTTTAGGGGCCAGAAGATGGTCATGGCATTGAGATCCACTAGGTGGTTAGTGTGGACAGGGCTTAACTATTTATAGGTTCAGAAAATCGAACTTCCTTTAGGCTCTTGTCCCTATCTTCCAAGTGGATATCTCGCGCACGTTTTAATCACAATCGCGGAACAACTTGTACGAAAGAGGCCCCACTCCCAGACAGAAACAAGCAGAAATATGTGGTTGATAAACGTATGAACCATTCCTCACTGGTCTGTTTCAATACCAACCCCAGATGTTCGTGCTGGACGATGCCTTGGATAACACTTTGTTTTTTTATTGTGATCTTAACTCCTCTGCAACCGAATCTAGCAGCAGTGACCGCTGCCGGGGAAGGAAGGCATCCTTCTTTGTTGGGTGGAGGGGCAGTCTGTCTCCTCTTCTTGGGGTCCTGGAATAGACAGATCAGGCACCCCTTCCACGAAGCTGTCCATGCTTGCATCTCCACTCCCAGCGAGCTTTAGTTGTGTGTGTGTTATTCCCTTCACTGAGGCATCTCAATGAAGTAAATTCAGGGGGAAAAAAATCCAGACAACCTCAAACCTATAAAATGAGGCAACCTACAGAAATCCCACAGAACATCCAGAATTGAGTGCTATAAGCCGAAAAGCCTCCACTTCTGCCAGTATTTCAAATCTGGTTGTGTGGTTAAGAGGCGAGT